GAGCACGGAAACCTGACTGGAACACGTCAACGCGGCCGGTCATATCTAAGAAAGTGTTTAATTGTTGAAACACTGCGCATTAAATTGGCTTTCTTTACCAAAATGGATCCCAGATAAATGACAGGAAAACTACAAATTTGACCACTGATAGTTTATTATGCTGCAGTATAAAAAGAGGCAAATCTCTGGACTGAGTCAGTATTGACCCAGAACTGCTTGGTTTCTGCTGCTTTGGACTCAAATCAATAAAGTTCGATCTTCTCAGGGTCAGTAGTGACAGAATAGGAGGAGACTGAAGGTTCTGCTTCCTCAGCACATCTAGTGTCAGTTTAATCAGCGGGTCTTAGTTTAAAGGAAAATTCCGGTTTTTAACACTTTTAGCCCATTTTCTGTAGTGTCCAGGATGAAATCGAATGATCGACACCAAAATTTTGACGATTGGTCCTGTCTCTGCTATTTGGCTCATGCAGAATCCCCCCCTGGCTGCTTCAGAATGGCTTCCATAGTGCATGTCCGATAATGTCCTTAAAACAACCTTAAACGTTCTTTTTTTAAAATATGCTACTCACCGAGTCGTCAGCGCTGTTCAATGACGTTCCAAAAAAAGTTTTGTGAAGAAAAAATGTTCCTGTAGTGTTTTATTTAGCATTTTGTAAATCCCATTGAGTTCTGTTGGAATAGTCAATATCCCTCCGCCACCGGAAACGGAAATGGGGCCTGTTTACGCGTAGTTGTAGTCTTTTCGCAAGGCCCAAGTGTTTCTGCTTCACTCTGTGTACTCCGACGTTGAGGTGCTAACGTCTCTGTTAAACACTTTAAAAAACTCTGAAAATGGAATACGAAAGGTGGATTCTTGAGGAGGACATATTGGACTTTGAGTTTGACGGTAGATGATACCGTTTTGAACCGGAATATACTGAGGAGGAGTATATAGAGACATTGTCGCCAACTAGTGGTCTGGAGTGTGCAACGCTTCAGATTCGAACGGGAAGCGGAAGTTTATAAGCGGTTGTGATGTATCGGAAAAAATAGTTCTGGGATTTACAAAATGCTAAATAAAACAAGACAGGAACGGTTTTTCTTCACGAAACTTTTTTTGGAACGTCATTGAACAGCGCTGACGACCCGGTGAGTGGCATATTAAAAAAAAAGAACGTTTAAGGTTGTTTTAAGGACATTATCGGACATGCACTATGGAAGCCATTCTGAAGCAGCCAGGGGGGGATTCTGCATGAGCCAAATAGCAGAGACGGGACCAATCGTCAAAATTTTGGTGTCGATCATTCAAATGCATCCTGGACACTACAGAAAAGGGGCTAAAAGTGTTAAAAACCGGAATTTTCCTTTAACCAGAGTTCCTATCAGAGAAACTTCAGGGAGGAACAGTTTGCTTTAGAAAACCTGCCGTCTGGTTTTGGTTCTTTGAGCTGAAAGTTCTAGAGTGCCTGAGAGGTAAAATGACTCAGCCAACCTAAGTTTCTGCGTCAGCTTATAAATTCTTCAACATGTCCCAGCCGCCTTGTAAAGATGACTGATGACTGGGTTCACCTGAGGGCTCGCCCCGACCCACTCAGGTCTACACCCGTCTCAAGATATCACAGCTTCATTGTGTCTCAGATGTTCGGAGAAGAAAAAAATAGCGGCTTCTGATTTTACATCCAACATATATACATACAATTTATAGAATAACTTCCAATTCTCTATATGCTACTTAAGTTTTTTTTTAAGTTTCTGCACAGCCCTCTGAAGGCTGACGACTTAAAATTTAACTTGGCCACTCCTCAACTCTCACTGACACTGAGAGTTATTTAAAATGAAAAATATATATATTTATATGCTCCAATTCCCATCATGTCATCTCAGATCACTTTATAGATCTAAATCAATCAGATCATCCAGTAATTTACTTTACAGGATTCCTTCTTCCGGGATGAGCAGGTGTTCTCTTACCTTACAGAGATAAACCACTCATATTTAGAGGGGCGCCAATTATTTTACTTTTAATAGAATCAATCTCATTTATGAAGAATCCTATGACATCATTACTGTTTATATTTATCTATGATGACCCACAGTGTGACATTCTTGAGTAGCTTTGCTGCTGTTCAGTCAGTGGCGCCTCCAGAAATGTTTCATAGATGTGGCCACTAAAAATCTTGGGTTGGCACACTGAAACTAACAGCCATCATTTCAAGGTTTGACTCTACTATAGTGGTAAACCTGCCTGTAGAAATCATAAATACTAAGATAAACACCTCATCATATCTTGGTTTATTGTGTGACTTTTGTTACGTCGCTGGTTGTGCATAGTGGGATTTACTAGTGGTTCCTAGAGTTTCTAAAAGTAGAATGGGAGGCAGATCTTTTAGTTCTCAGGCTCCTCTCCTGTGGAACCAACTAACAGTTTTAGTCCGTGAGGCAGACACCCTGTCTACTTTTAAGGCTAGGCTTAAAACTTTCCTTTTTTGATAAAGCTTCTAGTTAGAGTGGCTCAGGTTATCCTCAGCTATCTCTATAGTTCTGCTGCTATAGGCTTAGACTGCTGGAGGACATAGGGACCCCTTTTTCACCATTCTTTTTCCTCATAGTAGGTTTGCCTTGTTGTCTGAGATGGGCCTGTTTTCCAGTGGTCCTCTCTGACTGGCTGGATGTGCTCTCTTCATCCTGACATGGGAACTGGCACAGAGCTCATTTGGCTGCCTGTGTTTCCTGGACGGGGCTGGTTTACAGTTGCCTTTTGTATCTATGCTTCTTTTTCTATGTCTGCTTCCATCTCCTTGCCAGTCGGTCTCAGCAGATGGCCGCTCACACTGAGCCTGGAAGAGGTTTCTTCCTGTTAAAAGGGAATTTTTCCTCCCCACTGTCACTTCAAGCATGCTTAGTGTGAGGGATTGCCTTCCAAGTCAACGAGTCGATGCAATCAACAGGTTTTTCTTAGCTAGAGATCTCAATCTATCAATCTGGCTGCATTATCTGGTTGAATTGTGAAGTGCTTTGAGATGACATGTTGTTAATTGGCGCTTTAAAAGAAAATTGAATTGAATTTAAGTCTAGCCATAAATGTTACAGTACAATAAGTTATAATATAAGGTTTCATGGTTTGTTCTAAGGTGGGTAACCAGCCTAACTGAATATGGATTCCACATAAATGCCCTTTCTTTATACCAATCTGGATCGGTTTGTTCTGGAACAGCCTTGCCCCAGTTTGGGACAAACTTCACCTTTGCTCTTATTTCTTCAGCGTGATTAAATTTACAGACAGCAAAAGCATGACCCTTCCACCACCATGCAGCAGCAAACTTCTTCCCTACGGTCACATCTCTGCTCCAGAGGTTTGTTTCTTCTTTTCAGATGCAGCTTTACAGAATTCCTGCAGAACTTTTTTAAAGAGCTGCTTGGTTTTAAAACTTTTAACCAGCCTGGATTTCCAATGAATCCCACGATAAGGTCAGCTTTAACCCCCCAAAGATTTAAATTCTGTGCAGCGAGATCTGGCATCATTTAAAGCTTGGAGATACTTTGAAGGTGTTTGGACACCTAAACATAAATAAAGTTAAAACACTGCATCAGTCCCTAAGGAGAGAAAAAGAGGAATTGATAAAATGTTGGCGATTAAAGAGGCGACAGGCCGGAGTGGTGAGTCAGCTTTGCTACAACTTTAATCCAAAACATTTCTCTGCATATATTCAATAACATCTTTTTCTCTACAACAGATCTGCCTCTCTTCACTCTAAACAATTCAAACAAAAATAATTCTAGTCGCACATCATTCATTAACCTTTTATTTTACAATTCTCTGAACCTTTAGTGTTTTTCCTCTTTAAACATCAGGAATATTTGTTCGCTGTCTTTTATTATTAGAATCATGTTTTATTTTCGACACTGAGACGAGACAGAAAATACAGACGGTGACAAATGCTGCTGCTGCCCCCCCCACCCCATAAAAGCTCAGAAATGTAAGGTTCTGCTTAGAACATAATTCAAAGGCTCTGAGGCGCCGAGTGTTAAGAGTCGGAGGATGAGATCATCAGCAGATTTTACATCCCGTTTGGGACGGTTTATGGTCTGGAGATAAAAAACAAAGCGATGGGATGAATCAGAACAAGCAGATAAAGGAGGAAAGAGATGAGATGAAGGTTTTAGAGCAGCCGGGGCTCATGGGTCGGGTTAAACTGGCAGGAATACGATTATTGCTTCAAAACAAACCGAGTTCCCTTTTTCAGATCTTCTGTAATCTGCAGCTTCACGGCGTCGGTTCTTCTCAGGTTCCTGCTCCGCGATGAAGAACAAACTCTGAGGAATTCTACTCAGATCTGTGGGACCTTCTGCCCTTAAAAAGCCGATCAGGATTTTCTGTTTGGTTCTGCTGTAGATGAGCAGAACATTTGCTGGTTTGATCATTTTACCTTCAGGATCAAGTTTATCACCGAGGAGAAGCTGATGTCTGTGGAGAGATGTGATCCGACTCTTAACGCCGGCAGCCTCCCGCATGTTTGAGGTCGATTCCTTGGATTTGGTTTGTTACATAAGAGGCACTTAACCCCCCCCTCACCCGCCCCACCACCGAATAACTGAAGGAATCTGAGTTTTAATCATTTGGCTTCAGAGTTTCTTTGCAAACCAAGAGAGGAGATGGAAGCAGAGCAGGACTTCACTTCCCAGCAGCTTCTGGATCTGGTCCGCTACGTGGCGGCGCCCTCAGCCCTCCCGCCTCAGGCCCGCTAGTGTTAGAGGTCGGATCATTGGAGTGAGGAAATAACGTCAGCTGAAGTTTTCTCTATAAATACATGGAAAAGCGAAGAACTGAACAACATGAAGGTGATGAAGATCCTCCTGAGTGCAGCCAGGCTGCGTGAAAGGTTCCCCTCTGCTGCATCAACTCCAGCCTTTTTAAATTTAATAACCAGGAAGCTCAGTGACCCCCCCCCCCCCCCCCCCCCCACCATCACCCAGACAGAGCAGAGAATAAAAATGACAAAACTCCCAAAAAATAAACCAGGAAGTCCAGCAGGAACCGCGACCGTTCCCACTACAATATGTACAAACAGGCTTTTTACAAATAAGAGAGCCGCCATCCTCGCCTCAGGCGGAGCCGCCATCCTCGCCTCAGGCGGAGCCGCCATCCTCGCCTCAGGCGGAGCCGCCATCCTCGCCTCAGGCGGAGCCGCTCTTAGGCAGGTTGGGGTAGAGGAAAGCTGCTGTCACGGCGACCATCGCTGCGATGACCGGCATCCAGGGGCTCCAGCCGCTCTGTCCAATACAAAAAGAAAATAAAGAATTAAGGAAGTCGGGTTAGTCTGCAGAACCAGGGAGAACCAAGCAGAACCGGGGAGACCCCAGTTTCCTGCAGGAAAGGAAAGGAAGGAGAGAAGGAAAAGATGAAGCAGGGAAAATGAGTCCAAAAGATGATGGCGTTCTTTTGGGTCAGCTCTGAGCCCACAAACAAAACTAGAACCAGCAGCAGCTTTCTAGTTGAGGTTTGGACGGATCCTCAGCTTTTAGCATCCAGGGAGGCAATCAGGATGCACAGCTGAACCAGTCCGGATCGCCCTCACTCCACCGCCTTACCTCTCTGGTTCTCTCCTCCCTGGGTTCCCTGTCGTGACCTTTGACCTCCTAAATCAGGTCTGTTCTGGCTGAGGATGAGCTCTAAGCTTCCTGCCTTGACATTAGGCTAAAATTGGCAGCCATCTTTAATGGTTTTAAACTGTTCATGTCGAGCTGGAGACGGGTGGGCCCAGAAGAACTGACTGGTTTCTCCCAGACAGGATTTGGGTCTGAGCAGAACTTTGGAGTCGGTTAGAAAGCAGCTTCGGCTCGGATGAGCTCTACTTTTATCTCCATCTTTGTTACACAGACCCGCAGGGTTAACAGTAATCCAACCACTTTAGGTCATCGTATTTAAATCATCATCCTCAGACCAGTTCAGACATAAAGACTTATCTGTAGGGTATTTATGCCACTAGATGGCCACAGTGAGCATGAAGCTGTGAGGAAATTAATCATTTTCATCAATCTGACCCTGACCATTGAATCCTGCGGAAGAGGATTAAGGCCACTGGAAAAAAAAAAGTTAACTGATTTTTAAATTTTATTTAAGTTTAATATGGGAAAAAAAATCAGAATTCTGACTGAATTCTGACAATAAAAAAAAGTCAGATTAAAGCCTGAATTCTGCGATTAAAGTCTGAATTCTGAGATTAAAGTCAAAATTCTGAGGAAAAAGTCAGAATTCTGAGATTAAAGTCAAAATTCTGAGATTAAAGTCAAAATTCTGTGGAAAAAGTCAGAATTCTGAGATTAAAGTCTGAATTCTGAGAAAAAAAGTCAGAATTCTGAGATTAAAGTCAAAATTCTGAGGAAAAAGTCAGAATTCTGAGATTAAAGTCAAAATTCTGTGAAAAAAGTCAGAATTCTGAGATTAAAGTCTGAATTCTGCGATTAAAGTCAAAATTCTGAGGAAAAAGTCAGAATTCTGAGATTAAAGTCAAAATTCTGAGATTAAAGTCAAAATTCTGTGGAAAAAGTCAGAATTCTGAGATTAAAGTCTGAATTCTGAGAAAAAAAGTCAGAATTCTGAGATTAAAGTCAAAATTCTGAGGAAAAAGTCAGAATTCTGAGATTAAAGTCAAAATTCTGTGGAAAAAGTCAGAATTCTGAGATTAAAGTCTGAATTCTGCGATTAAAGTCAAAATTCTGAGGAAAAAGTCAGAATTCTGAGATTAAAGTCAAAATTCTGAGATTAAAGTCAAAATTCTGTGGAAAAAGTCAGAATTCTGAGATTAAAGTCTGAATTCTGCGATTAAAGTCTGAATTCTGAGAAAAAAAGTCAGAATTCTGAGATTAAAGTCTGAATTCTGCAATTAAAGTCAAAATTCTGAGGAAAAAGTCAGAATTCTGCAATTAAAGTCTGAATTCTGAGAAAAAAAGTCAGAATTCTGAGATTAAAGTCAAAATTCTGAGGAAAAAGTCAGAATTCTGAGATTAAAGTCAAAATTCTGAGATTAAAGTCAAAATTCTGTGGAAAAAGTCAGAATTCTGAGATTAAAGTCTGAATTCTGCGATTAAAGTCTGAATTCTGCGATTAAAGTCTGAATTCTGAGAAAAAAAGTCAGAATTCTGAGATTAAAGTCTGAATTCTGCAATTAAAGTCTGAATTCTGCGATTAAAGTCTGAATTCTGAGAAAAAAAGTCAGAATTCTGAGATTAAAGTCAAAATTCTGTGGAAAAAGTCAGAATTCTGAGATTAAAGTCTGAATTCTGCGATTAAAGTCAAAATTCTGAGGAAAAAGTCAGAATTCTGAGATTAAAGTCAAAATTCTGAGATTAAAGTCAAAATTCTGTGGAAAAAGTCAGAATTCTGAGATTAAAGTCTGAATTCTGCGATTAAAGTCTGAATTCTGAGAAAAAAAGTCAGAATTCTGAGATTAAAGTCTGAATTCTGCAATTAAAGTCAAAATTCTGAGGAAAAAGTCAGAATTCTGCAATTAAAGTCTGAATTCTGAGAAAAAAAGTCAGAATTCTGAGATTAAAGTCAAAATTCTGAGGAAAAAGTCAGAATTCTGAGGTTAAAGTAAAAATTCTGAGATTAAAGTCAAAATTCTGTGGAAAAAGTCAGAATTCTGAGATTAAAGTCTGAATTCTGCGATTAAAGTCTGAATTCTGAGAAAAAAAGTCAGAATTCTGAGATTAAAGTCTGAATTCTGCAATTAAAGTCAAAATTCTGAGGAAAAAGTCAGAATTCTGCAATTAAAGTCTGAATTCTGAGAAAAAAAGTCAGAATTCTGAGATTAAAGTCAAAATTCTGAGGAAAAAGTCAGAATTCTGAGGTTAAAGTAAAAATTCTGAGATTAAAGTCAAAATTCTGTGGAAAAAGTCAGAATTCTGAGATTAAAGTCTGAATTCTGCGATTAAAGTCTGAATTCTGCGATTAAAGTCTGAATTCTGAGAAAAAAAGTCAGAATTCTGAGATTAAAGTCTGAATTCTGCAATTAAAGTCTGAATTCTGCGATTAAAGTCTGAATTCTGAGAAAAAAAGTCAGAATTCTGAGATTAAAGTCTGAATTCTGCGATTAAAGTCTGAATTCTGCTATTAAAGTCTGAATTCTGAGAAAAAAAAGTCAGAATTCTGAGATTAAAGTCAAAATTCTGAGGAAAAAGTCAGAATTCTGAGATTAAAGTCTGAATTCTGCGATTAAAGTCTGAATTCTGCGATTAAAGTCTGAATTCTGAGAAAAAAGTCAGAATTCTGAGATTAAAGTCAAAATTCTGAGGAAAAAGTCAGAATTCTGAGATTAAAGTCTGAATTCTGCGATTAAAGTCTGAATTCTGCGATTAAAGTCTGAATTCTGAGAAAAAAAGTCAGAATTCTGAGATTAAAGTCAAAATTCTGTGGAAAAAGTCAGAATTCTGAGATTAAAGTCTGAATTCTGCGATTAAAGTCTGAATTCTGCGATTAAAGTCTGAATTCTGAGAAAAAAAGTCAGAATTCTGAGATTAAAGTCTGAATTCTGCAATTAAAGTCTGAATTCTGCGATTAAAGTCTGAATTCTGAGAAAAAAAGTCAGAATTCTGAGATTAAAGTCTGAATTCTGCGATTAAAGTCAAAATTCTGAGGAAAAAGTCAGAATTCTGAGATTAAAGTCAAAATTCTGTGGAAAAAGTCAGAATTCTGAGATTAAAGTCTGAATTCTGCGATTAAAGTCTGAATTCTGAGAAAAAAAGTCAGAATTCTGAGATTAAAGTCTGAATTCTGCAATTAAAGTCAAAATTCTGAGGAAAAAGTCAGAATTCTGCAATTAAAGTCTGAATTCTGAGAAAAAAAGTCAGAATTCTGAGATTAAAGTCAAAATTCTGAGGAAAAAGTCAGAATTCTGAGGTTAAAGTAAAAATTCTGAGATTAAAGTCAAAATTCTGTGGAAAAAGTCAGAATTCTGAGATTAAAGTCTGAATTCTGCGATTAAAGTCTGAATTCTGCGATTAAAGTCTGAATTCTGAGAAAAAAAGTCAGAATTCTGAGATTAAAGTCTGAATTCTGCAATTAAAGTCTGAATTCTGCGATTAAAGTCTGAATTCTGAGAAAAAAAGTCAGAATTCTGAGATTAAAGTCTGAATTCTGCGATTAAAGTCTGAATTCTGCGATTAAAGTCTGAATTCTGAGAAAAAAAAGTCAGAATTCTGAGATTAAAGTCAAAATTCTGAGGAAAAAGTCAGAATTCTGAGATTAAAGTCTGAATTCTGCGATTAAAGTCTGAATTCTGCGATTAAAGTCTGAATTCTGAGAAAAAAGTCAGAATTCTGAGATTAAAGTCAAAATTCTGAGGAAAAAGTCAGAATTCTGAGATTAAAGTCTGAATTCTGCGATTAAAGTCTGAATTCTGCGATTAAAGTCAAAATTCTGAGAAAAAAAGTCAGAATTCTGAGATTAAAGTCAAAATTCTGAGGAAAAAGTCAGAATTCTGAGATTAAAGTCAAAATTCTGAGATTAAAGTCAAAATTCTGTGGAAAAAGTCAGAATTCTGAGATTAAAGTCTGAATTCTGCGATTAAAGTCTGAATTCTGCGATTAAAGTCTGAATTCTGAGAAAAAAAGTCAGAATTCTGAGATTAAAGTCTGAATTCTGCAATTAAAGTCTGAATTCTGCGATTAAAGTCTGAATTCTGAGAAAAAAAGTCAGAATTCTGAGATTAAAGTCTGAATTCTGAGAAAAAAAGTCAGAATTCTGAGATTAAAGTCAAAATTCTGAGGAAAAAGTCAGAATTCTGAGATTAAAGTCAAAATTCTGAGATTAAAGTCAAAATTCTGTGGAAAAAGTCAGAATTCTGAGATTAAAGTCTGAATTCTGCGATTAAAGTCTGAATTCTGCGATTAAAGTCTGAATTCTGAGAAAAAAAGTCAGAATTCTGAGATTAAAGTCTGAATTCTGAGATTAAAGTCTGAATTCTGCAATTAAAGTCTGAATTCTGCAATTAAAGTCTGAATTCTGCGATTAAAGTCTGAATTCTGAGAAAAAAAGTCAGAATTCTGAGATTAAAGTCTGAATTCTGCGATTAAAGTCTGAATTCTGCGATCAAAGTCTGAATTCTGAGAAAAAAAAGTCAGAATTCTGAGATTAAAGTCAAAATTCTGAGGAAAAAGTCAGAATTCTGAGATTAAAGTCTGAATTCTGCGATTAAAGTCTGAATTCTGCGATTAAAGTCTGAATTCTGAGAAAAAAGTCAGAATTCTGAGATTAAAGTCAAAATTCTGAG